TATGTATTAAGATAGACGACAACAATTATTTTATTTTAATGTTTTACTTCTTACCTTACTGTGGTTTAGCTTTAAGCAGTTACATTTTATCTTTTAACACTAAAGAATTAATTAAAATAATATTATAATAAAAATTATGTATTATAGTACACCGATTTCTTATAATTTAATCATCCAAGTTTTACAATCTTTATCATCATTTCAGCCCTTCACAAGTCGACTACAGAACATCATCCTCCATAGACTGCCGCAAAGCATGGTCATGAACCACTTTCCTTTTTATGACTTTTTCAGTTATGTTCTTAAATTATAATAAAATTAGTATTACTAAGTTGTAGTTAATTACATTTATTGTTTGTTTTTGTCTTTTCCAAAAAATAATTAAATATTGTATGGTGTTTTTAACATATACCAAATGTCTGAAAAGCAAGTACGTATCATTTGTTAAACTTTTAAATCAAACACCAATTTTTAAATATAGACGAATTGACCATAACTTACTTAACTATAAAATAAGTTATGTTTTTTTTTAAATATAGGATAGGGTGACAAACAAGCACACAGTCCACCTGATGGTAAGTGGCTACTATGACCTATAGACATCTACATCTATCCTCAATATAGACTCAAGATGCAGATGGGATTTCCGTAAAAGTTATTGCGTCTATAATAGATACAATCGCGCCTCATTTAGCTATTATTTTTAATACTAGTATCGAATCTGGTGTGTTTCCTGATTTAATGAAGCATAGTAAAGTAATACCTTTATTTAAATCTGGTAGTACATTAGACCCCGCCAATTTTAGACCTATTTCTGTACTACCAACACTTAGTAAGATTTTTGAAAAAATTGTTCTTGTTCAAATGTTAAATTTTTTTAATATAAATAATTTACTTCATAAAAATCAATTTGGTTTCACAAGGGGTCGCTCGACAACTGATGCCGGTGTTGAGCTGATTAAATATATCTTTAATGCATGGGAGAATTCACAGGATGCTTTGGGTATATTTTGTGACCTATCCAAGGCCTTCGATTGTGTTCACCATGAAACATTAATCAGGAAACTTCAACACTACGGTGTAAGAAGTGATGCCCTTAAATTAATTATTTCATATTTAAGTAAGAGAACGCAAAAAGTTGTCATTAACAATATGAGCTCTTCCGGATCGATGGTACAAATGGGCGTGCCTCAAGGCTCAATTCTCGGCCCCTTTCTGTTTCTTGTATACATTATGACTTACCTTACATTGTAGGGGATAACCATGATATAGTATTATTTGCAGATGACACTTCTTTAATTTTCAAATTAAGTCGACAGTTACTAAAATATGACGAAGTAAATAATGCTATCTCTAAATTAGTAAATTGGTTCGATGTTTATAATTTGCATTTAAATGGCACTAAAACAAAATGTATGAAATTCGTGACTCCAAATGTCAAACAATTAAATACTAATGTAATTTTAAATGGGGAGAAACTGAGTCTTGTAGATACCACCATTTTTCTTGGAATCACACTAGACGCGAAGCTTCAATGGAGCCCCCATATATCAAAACTAGCAAGCAGACTTAGTTCTGCAGCATATGCTGTAAAAAAGATTAGAAGTTTAACCAGTGTTGAAACAGCTAGACTACTTTACTTCAGCTACTTCCATAGCATAATGTCGTATGGTATTTTGCTATGGGGACACGCAGCTGACACTGAAATTATATTTGTTTTGCAGAAGAGGGCCATAAGAGCAATTTATGATTTAAAGCCTAAAGAGTCGCTGCGACAAAAATTTAAGGAAATTAATATATTAACTTTGGCCTCTCAATACATTTATGAAAATGTAATGTACGTACACAAAAATAAAAGTAGTTTTACAAAAATAAGTGATATTCATTCTGTAAATACTAGGAACAGACACAAGCTAGTAGTACCAGTTACTCGACTCCATCGAGTCAGTAATTCATTCTTGGGGCGATGTATACGCTTTTACAACAAAATTCCAGAAAATATACAAAGTTTGACCTGTTCAAAGTTCAAAAACTTTATTAAACTAAGTTTGTATAAAAAGGGTTATTATAATATTAAGGAATTTATGGATGATAATAACCCCTGGAAATGAGGTGATCGCTACCAAGCTATTTCTAATTTGTTGTGTTGTTAATTTGTGTAACATCATGATTGTAAGCTGTTATTTAAAAAAAAAAGTCCCGCTGGGTTTCTTGCTGGTTCTTCCCAGGACAGAGGTTTTTTCCGAACCAGTGGTAATCAAACAAAAGAGTGACTTTCAATAAGTATTATTTATAATCTATATTGAATAAAAAAGTTTCTGTTTCTGTTTCTGTTTCTGTTTCACAACCGTGATTGTTGTAAAACTGACAGCAAAACCTACCGTGTAATGGGCGTCTAAGAGCGAGATTGTCGACGAACTAGTTCGCATAGTTTACCTAAAGGACCGCTCTTCGATCTTAGATCGTTCGCGAACTACCCAAAGACCCAAGACCTGTACATACAACTTTATAATTTGTGCCCAAGACTATTGCTGACTGACATAGAGAAAAGTAAGACGTCCATTACACGGTAGGTTTTGCTGTCAGTTTTACAACAATCACGGTTGTGATTGACGAATAACCTATCGTGTAATGTAGTTATTGACAGTTGCATGAAATTGATTGACAAATATCTGGATATTTTGATTTTTACGTCAATCAACTATTCAGTCACGAATTTTGATTTAACGTGTAATGGCATTTCATCAATCACGCGTCAGTCAACGCTCAGACAGCAATGGAGGCGGACGCAGAATATATTGAAGAGGCGGGTTTCACGCGCTCGCGCAGCCCGTCGCCACTCCCGCCAAATGTGCTTCGGCCAGAAAAAGACTTTATTTTAAATTTTGAGGCTATCCCCGAGTTGTGGGACACGAAAAACCTCGGGTAGGTTGGATGCCCCTAATACCAGCCACGCCCCTAATTCCAGCCTTTCCGCCTTTTTACTTCGTAAATAAGATTTCTAGTAGTCTTAACTACAAATATGGTCGGCTAAAAATTCTTCGTAATTAGAGGAAAGTATATTTCAAATATTACCTCACAGTTTTAAACCTAACAGTGTTAAATTAAAAATCAAAACATAAGCATATTTTACATTAGCTCATCTTTAGGCTTTTTGATTTGTATGAATGTGACTATAGACATAGTAATGCAGCTATTTGTGTTTAAATTTATAAGTTTTTTATTTTATTTTAGTGGAAATTAATGGGGCTGTAATTAGATATACGAAATTTATGGAGTGCATAATGTCAGTGGCCCGACTGTTATTTGGTTTGACGTAAATAATAAGAAGTACCTTATTTTAACCACGTAATATAAATCAGGGCTGTCATAAACTAGCATAAATACTATTAATTTGAACTCACACAGAAAACCAACGTAGAATAGCAGCTTAACGCTGCTGTGTTTCGTATGGTGAGTGTAGAGAACCGGAGACCCTTTTTACTGGCAAAGAGGCATTCCATCTTAGTCCTCACGGGTGACAACGCATCTGCATCTTGAGTCTATATTGAGGATAGATGTAGATGTTTATGGGTCATAGTAGCCACTTACCATCAGGTGGACTGTGTGCTCGTTTGTCACCCTATCCTATATAAAAAAAAAAAACATAACTTATTTTATAGTTAAGTAAGTTATGGTCAATTCGTCTATATTTTAAAATTGGTGTTTGATTTAAAAGTTTAACAAATGATACGTACTTGCTTTTCAGACATTTGGTATATGTTAAGAACACCATACAATATTTAATTATTTTTTGGGAAAAACAAAAACAAACAATAAATGTAATTAATTACAACTTAGTAATACTAATTTTATTATAACTTAAGAACATAAATGAAAAAGTCATAACAAGGAAAGTGGTTCAGGACCATGCTTTGCGGCAGTCTATGGAGGATGATGTTCTGTAGTCGACTTGTGAAGGGCTGAAATGATGATAAAGATTGTAAAACTTGGATGATTAAATTATAAGAAATCGGTGTACTATAATACATAATTTTTATTATAATATTATTTTAATTAATTCTTTAGTGTTAAAAGATAAAATGTAACTGCTTAAAGCTAAACCACAGTAAGGTAAGAAGTAAAACATTAAAATAAAATAATTGTTGTCGTCTATCTTAATACATATTCCATACTTGTGACATGCATGATTTAAAATTAAAAGTTGTTATGAATTTATTTCAGTGCCCCTAAAATTTACCTACAATAGGTACCTACCAAAAACTCAAAAGGCATAGCCCTATGCTATGCTGGCATTAGATACACAAAAGGAAATTGAAATTGGCACTAAAAGGCTGGTAATAGGGGCATCCACCCTATACGAATAAATGTACAAGTTAAGCTTATTTTTCGTCCATAAATGCGTTTTAAATAAAACCGCGTATCGATTATGCACTCCAAGAGGTCTAACATTTGCGCGCGTTAAATTAAAATGGGTAAAATGATATTAAATATTGCAATTTTTCCTATTCGTTTTTTTTCTTTTTTTTTTCAAGATATAAAATTATAATTAAATGGTGAATCGAAAATGAACTTAGGTTATAGGTACGTCCTTTCACTCCGAAAATTTGGGTTTGACTGACGATCAGTCAGCATGAGCGTGTAATGTCCAAATTATTCCATCATTCAAACCTCAGTCATGATTAACCGAACTGATTGACGCTTGCCTAGGCGTGTAATGGGCGTCTAATACATCAGGAACTGACTCTCTGACATAGATAAGAGTGTATATACGGAAACTCACTGACTTCTCCGCTAGGAGTAAAGTTATAAAGTATTCTGTGCACTGACTTGACTGATATCTAAACCAAAGAGTATAATAAGTATATACAGGAAATCTAAACTCATAGATAACACCTATATACCAGGAATCTAAACTGATTGACATGATAAAGTTTTAGAGGGCGATATTTGATAATTTATTATTTTATTTCCGATAAGTGATTGTAAATAAATTGAAAATGTTTTACAGACTCAATAATAGATTTTTGCTTAAACCACTTTATTCGTTTCAAACGCTAAAAACGTCTACTGCTATAGAAAATTCAACGAAGAACAAAGTAACATTAATTAGTAAGCTGCGATGTTTTTAAGTTTATTTATACTTTTAACATTTGTTCCTGCCGTCATAAATTCACTTTTATATCTTCTGTCGCAGATAAAAAGTACGACAATGTACCGTATAAAAAATATTTTACAGGCAGGGCATACTCCAATCAGACTAGACTTGAAGAGATGATAGTTGATTACAATCAGGTTAAAAGAGCAGTTTCAAATCAAAATTCATTGATTGTTGATGTAAGAGAACCAGAGGAAATTAAGAAACATGGAAAAATTCCTAATAGTATAAATATTCCTTGTAAGCACTAATATTTAACTTAATATTTTGATATATTTTTATTTTATTTTATTACTAAAGTTTTTTTATTTTTTATTTTAAGTGGGTAATGTATCAAATGTACTTAACTCTATGTCAGACATAGAATTTGAACAAATTTATGGAAGGAAAAAGCCTAAAGACAATACAGAAATCATTTTTTATTGTATGATAGGAAAAAGATCTGGTATGGCTCAACAAAACACAATAAGCCTGGGATATAAAAAGTAAGTACTAATATTAAATAAAACTATTTGTATGGATTTCTGCTTCATAGCACCCTAGGTCACAGGAGGGACTAAGGTACATGAAGTCCTAATCCCATAGTTAGCCCGGCTACCTTCAGTTTTTGAATATTAATTTTTGGTTCGATATACACAAAACAAGCTTATAGTATCTTGAAGTCTTGCAGTGATTTTATTCTTTTATAGGATAGGGTGACAAACGAGCACACAGTCCAACTGATGGTAAGTGGTTGCTGTGACCAATAGACATCTACATCTATCCTCAATAAAGAATCAAAATGCAGATGTGTTGTCACCCGTGAGGACTAAGATGGAATGCCTCTTTTCCAGTAAAAAGGGTCTCCGATTCTCTACACTCGCCATATGAAACACAGCAGTGATACGCTGCTATTTTACGCTGGCATTCTGTGAGAGTGTGGTCCTTCCCTGGTTCGAGCTGACCCATTCGTGCTACAACTATACTACTAATATAGCTGCAGCATGGCTCTACCACGTAATATATATAGGCTTGGGTTTGCATTTATTTTATTAAGTATAGGATCCCAAGTAGATGGTAGCACCCATCCATCTTCTCTATTGAAATTAGGATGTTTTTTAATTTCAATAGCCTTGTGTATCATCCTTGGTAAGAATCAGTGTTGTTTTGCGAGGATTTGTGGTCTATCAAATCTGATGTAATGGCATCACATCGGTTATATGTTCTTTTATACAATAAAATCCATAAACTTAGTTTATTTAATGTATATTATCATAAAATATATAAAATAGCATAAATAAAAGAAATCATAAGTATTAATATGTAAATATTTTACCTGGGTTGACATTTAATTAATAAAAATATACTTTTCAGTGTCAAAAATTATGTTGGAAGTTGGACAGATTGGGCAAGCAGAAATCAATAAGTCATATAATTCAAAATATAGAAATATACAATTACATAAGGCTTAACAAGATACTGCTTTGTTTATTTTAGACTAAACAGGTTACAGATAAAAGCCTTTTTTAACAATGTTCATCGATAAGCTGGTGTAAATTTATCACCTAATGAAATATTATTATAATGCTGTATTAAAAAGTGTGACTAAGAATACTTAGTCACACTTTTTTTCATTAGTTTCCCTTTTTGTGTAGTGTGTGTCCCAATTTAAACTATTCATATTATGTAACATGTCATTGATGAATACATTGTAATCACCATAAAGGAAGAAAAAGAAGAAGAAAGTTCATGATTTGGGAGAAAAAATATGTGGTCCATCTGTCATATACTTAATAGGGTGGGTCAATTTTTTTTCTTGTTTTTCTAAAATGCTCTGCTAAATGGTGTTGTTAATTAATTTGTAAATATTCGACATCACTTTACTAATACTTTACTCAAGTTATTGCGTTATTGATATTAGATTGCATGCCTAATAGTTTTTATAATGATATATATGAAATTGCTTGGTTGAGTTCAACGACTAAGTAGTAAGGACTCGTGGTCTTTGGAAGAAGTTGAGACAAGTGACGAGCGATTTATTGGTAAAATAATTAGTGTCGCACGTTGTGTAAGAGAGTGCAGTAATTTTTTTACATCATCAGAAATATGGAACATACTCGAAATAGTTGGAAGTGTCTCTTATTTGGCGATTTATGTGATTTAAAAGACAAGATATTGCCAACATACAAAGATGTGAAGAAGTTTTATGAATAGACCCGAGCCCGACACAGGTTTGAGAGTAAAACGAAAAATGAGCGAACGTATAAAGAAATAGAGACAATTCTATTCTTATTTTAATAAATGAAACAAGTTGGATATTATTATAATAAATGAAACAAGTTGTAAAGGTTTTGTTTTAAAGTAGTTTTGTTTGATATTTCGGCTTGCCAGAGTCGAGATTTTCGTAAATGTACTTGTACTAGAAAAATAACCTGCAAAAAAGAACAGCTTTATAAAGACCAACTGCTAGGCAAATGATGACAGGTGGTGTAGACGTTGGCACAACAAAACAAATTATAAGAGCCCTGAGAGTAAAAATTGAGATCAAACGACAAAAAGTCGCCAAAATATGTATGGATCAGTTGAGTAGCAGAGAGGTGAATCCGAATGTGTCCACTTCTATTTGGATTGTCAACAGCTAACAAAAATTCAGTTGTAGACTTCAAGCATTGATTCTGTGAGTAATACCTACTACAACTGCAGTTGATTATGCTTTCATACATTTGAAGTGTCAAATAGGCAATGGGTCGGCTTTAGTAATCTGCGGTACAATTTAAGTGATAATTTTAGCTTTAGGTGATAGGCAATGATGCTATTGATTAACATCCAGCTGCTTTTTATGCCGGAAATCCTTAGTTTTCGACATATCGATAATTAAAGTTTTGAGGTTATGTCCATTTAAAAATGATACGAAATCGAAATAACCAAAGATGTTTTATAGGTCCTATAAAACATCTTTGGAAATAACAATATAATTATTAGAAAGAGAGCAATAGTATGATTTGTATGATCTGTTTATAGTGCTATCCTACTCTAACAAACGTGACAACGTGAAAAACGACACTAGTCACCATTCCACTTTCGCCTTCAGACTTGGAATGTTTTGAGCTCATTTTTTGCTCCCAACTTTTGACCCTTGCTCGATTACCGGACCACCGATTACCGCCTGCTCTACTTTTGACCTCTGCTTGTTTCTTGGACTTGTGATTTGCCTTGACGAAGACCCGCGCTCGAATACCGGAACACCGATTTGCCCTACGACGACCCCTGCACGTGTTTTTGGACTTTGCCTACCTGTCTGTCTACCTTGGAGACTTAAGATGGCTGACGACCCCACACCGTCAACTAGTTCGGCCGGTCCGTCGAACGCAAGCGACGCCGCCGCACCGGTGGCAGTACCCTTACCCTTCGCGGAACTTTATGGTGATTACGTGCGCAGGCGTTTATACGTGAAAGAAGAAGCAAAAATGTATAATTTAGCCCGAATCGTGCGAGAACTCGGTATCAGAGAGCAGTGTGTGAAGTTTGCCATTGAAAATGAATTAATCCCTGCCACTAAGGAGTGCCGCACCCATAGAGTGCCAATGATAGTGGAATATGGGCAAAATAAAAATGTGGGCTCCTTTGTGTGTAATAAAGAAAATTGCAGAGCCCGATCCAGGGTAGCTTGTGGCAAGGGCACCTGGTTTGAAAACATTAAAATATCATTGCCACGGGTATTTTATCTAATGTACATCGCTGGAGCTATGAAGATGCAATCCATGAAGACCCTGAAAAATATATGGAGGGAGGCTGTTTATCTATGACGACTGTCTGCGATTGGTACAATTACTGCCGGGAGGCAGTCGTCATTTACCAAATAGAGCGGCAAGAGGCCATCGGCAAGATTGGTGGCCCAGGAAAGGTTGTCCAAATAGACGAGTCAAAATTTGGAAAACGGAAATATAATAAAGGTAATTTGATTTTCTTATATTACAGACTGAGACAATTTATTTATTTAAAGTTTACTTTTAAAGCCAAAATATCCTGAATAATGCGGTTAGATGTGTGCCCCGAAAACATCAGGTCAGCGGAAGTACTAGTACCCCTAATTAAAAAACATGTGGCTAAGGGCACCACAGTGTATACAAACTTCTGGAGAGCGTATGATTGTTTGGGAGAACATGGGTTCATTCACAAGGTGAACCATTCCGATCCTGATAACAAACACATTTGTTGCCTCCTGATGGCACTCACACGCAAAGGATCGAAACGCAATGGCGGGTGGTTAAAAGATTCTTCAATAAATACAATTATAACCACCCGGAAAACTTCGCAGATTATAGAGTATTTGTGGAGAAGGTCAGTCCAAAGGAACAAAAAGGATCCTTTTATGGAATTAACTGAAGTGATTAAACATGTGTATAAATAAATGTATTGCATACCTTAAGCGAAAGCACAAGGTATGTTCTACTATCGCCTAAAAATTAAGATTCCAACGTTTTATCGAATAAAAACGTATCTAGCAATCATATTATACATATAAATGATATAAAAAGCACATTGTTAGAAAGATAAATGATTGTTGAACTTATTAATTTTTTTTTTAAATCGATTAATTGCTATTTTTAAATAAAAAAAGGGGTTTTAGTGGCTTATGGTGTGGATTTATCATGTCCCCAAGGCTTGTAAACACGACAACTTTTGAAAATATCAATTGTTTAACTCAATCTATTTTTTAATCTCTTCATCTATCATGTGGGAACCCACTGAATGTAAATGGCAGTGTAATTTTGTTTTGTTTAGCTATAATTAATTTTTTTCGGCTCCAAAATGGCGAAATTTTCGTTGATTGGTAGCCTTGTGTGTAAATTATTTCTGTAAATGGGAAACTACAGCCACAGAGTAGTTTAGTTTGGCTTCAGTCGCCGTCTTGAATGGACATTGTTTCGGTTGTTTGCAGCGGCTCAAAAAGATGGCTGTACAAATACACAATATTCGAATAACCAAATTTCTTACATACTTGATTATAATAATAATAAAAGATTTTTTATTACAATATTTTAAATTTTTATTTAAATTTTTTTGTCATGTGTAACATTTTCATGGTTTTCGAGGGTGTTGAAACCGATAGGATTGTCGAAATGTAAATCCAAGATGGCGGCCGCAATAGGTATCAATTTTTACATCATGGGTTTTATTTTCGTGGTTTTCGAGGGTGCTGAAGCCGATAGTGCTGTCGAAATGTAAATCCAAGGTGACGGCTGCAATAGGTATAAATTTTTTCATCATGGGTGTTATTTTCATGTTTTTCGAGGGTGTTGAAGCCGATGGTGCTGTCGAAATGTAAATCCAAGGTGGCGGCTGCAATGGATATCAATTTTTTCATCATGGCTGTCATTTTCATGGGTTTCGAGAGTGTTGAAGCCGATAGTGCTGTCCAAATGTAAATCCAAGATGGCGGCTGCAATAAATATCAATTTTTTCATCATGGGTGTCATTTTCATGGTTTTCGAGGGTGTTGCAGCTGATAGTGCTGTCGAAGTGTAAATCCAAGATGGCGGCTGAAGTAGGTACCAATTTTTTCATCATGGGTGTCATTTTCATGGTTTTCGAGGGTGTTGAAGCCGATAGTGCTGTCGAAATGTAAATCCAGGATGGTGGCTGAATTAGGTACCAATTTTTTCATCATGGGTGTCATTTTCATGGTTTTCGAGGGTGTTGAAGCCGATAGTGCTGTCGAAATGTAAAATCCAAGATGGCGGCTGCAATAGATACAATTTTTTTCATCTTGGGTATCATTTTCATGGTTTTCGAGGGTGTTGAAGCAGATAGTGCAGTCGAAATGTAAATCCAAGATGGCGGCTGCAATAGATATCAATTTTTTCATCTTGGGTGTCATTTTCAAGGTTTTCGAGGGTGTTGAAGCCGATAGTGCTGTCGAAATGTATTTAAACTACTTTAAAAATTCCGTATAATCATGTTATACGTAATTTTTTTAATGCGCTTAAGGTATGCGCATTAAAAATTCGCAGAAACAATTGGATTTACCAATATTATAATAATTGTAATATTATATTTGGTCGTTTCTTTTGATAAAACCCCAGTACCAGAAGGTATAAATCACAAAACCGAATCTGTCAACACCGACTTACCCGTGGTCTTTTCGCTCTTACCCCTAGAGTGTATATGAAAACGCGTAAGCGCGTAGTTACGCAAGGGCGAAGGGGCTACATTTCTCTTCATTCAGCGCTGGAGCAGAAGCAGAATCAAAATAGTGTTAATTGCCACGGTTTTATCCCACATTCCCACCGGGATCCGAATGTGACTTGAAAATCGCATTCGCTTATTAATAAAGACCTTTTTTTAATAAGCGAAAGCGATTTTGGCGTAATATGTAACAAAACTTTAAAAATTCATAAAAAAAGGGGGGGGGGGTCCGGCAAT